TCGTTACATGCGCGCAAACTTGATGTATAATTTGCAAAATTTTGTGTTACTCACTCATTTATTGGAGGGCACTGTACGTGAGTCTTTTCACAGTCTCTTAACTATTTCTAGTTTTTACATGTTATAAAATAAACAATAATTACTATAAGAAATCACAATTGACGTGTTAGTGTAGGATTATTGACTTATACATTTGGATTTACGCACCTTATCCACTTCTCGTTCCAATTCAGGCTTTTCGGTTCCATCACTCTTCTCAGGCTTGTCACATCATGCAGTAGATGGGAAGGTAAATCCTGAAATTTCCGCTCTATTTTCATGGGATTACAAGTGTATACGAAGCTCATATTGTGCTCTATTGCGATTCAGGTGCGTGAGGAAAGTCCTGATCGCCCTACAATCGACCCAATTCAGTATGAATGACCGGTTCCTCATGCTTTAGACTACCTACTCCTCCAAAATATTTACGTACTTTCTGGTTCTAATTTTAGAGCGCGGAATACGGTTCTATGTCTATATCACTTCGAATTTCTCCTTTTGTCAGTAGCCACACAACTTGTTTGTAGTGATTAAAGGCTAAGCTCCATATATGATTCAGCTTGCTGTGCGAAATAATTCGCTAAAATAGTAGTCTAAGGCATAAAATATTGTCAGCGCAAAACGAATTAGTATTGTTCGCAGATGAAACCAGAATTGAATGCTCCCAAAACATTCCATACAGCTATGCACCATTTCCATTAAAGACCTAATTGTATTTTGATGATAATAATAAATTTACCATATAAATCCAGTAATAAAAGAAAGACATCAGTTCTGATATCCAACGTGCCATTAAACTCTGAGCGTCAATTGTCTCGAATGTCGCGCTGTCTGTTTATCGACTCGCCAAGACTGATGATACATTGACCACGGAGACCTCCCGTTCGTCTGCAGGCGGATAGTCAAACATATATGTAATTGTTAAAATCCCATTAATTTTAACAACATATCCCTCGAGTATCAAGACGCATATTGTTGGTGTAAAGATTCATTGAAATTCTACGACCTGCATTTTCAGAATGTAGTCGGACAACTGAAGGAATAGTTATAAATAAATACTGATTAATAATTGCTTGCGCTGAACCATCACAACAATACATATAGCACCTGATAGAAAATATAACATGCCTGGACCATCGCCGTCAAATCCGTCTCGTATGTCGTCACAAAGAACTCATACCAATGTCCCACCCACACTTTCTAGATTCAATAAAAGGGAAAGAGATGCTTCCGGTGTCTTTGTAAAAGATGCAGACTCGAGGACGCCTTCCCATTATAGTAGACAGTTCGTTTTGTGAATGCGAAAATCCCACAGGGGTCAGCCAAATAACCAATACTCCAATTTTAACCTCGTAACCAATACGTTGTTTTACTGCAATATTAAGAAAGCAATAAAGGATGATAGGATTACAGTACTCTAATATAATCACCAAACTTACCCCGCGCTGAACATCCCATGGTCACTCGAGCAAAACAGCGCGTTTACACTAATAACGACAACAAGTCGCTACGTGAATATATATTCCGTATTTATAAAGATTCTCACCTTCTGTGAATTTAACATGCAACGATCATTACAGTTTCTTAATGCAATGTCATCGTAATGTGCTCGCCCATAACACCGCGTCCAGGCTTCTGTCGTATGTTATCCATAATGCCAACGGCTCGTCAGCATATTCAACTGTATATCAACATTAAATTCTATGCACCGTGGTAATGCCAGACGGTCCGGGAGACGTGGAAATTTTCGCGCTCGATACGTGATGAGAATATATCGACTTGAGCGAGATTGCAGTATGACGGAACGCACCTTCAGGTATTACGATTCCTTCGGCTAGGTCGTGCTCTGATTTCAAATATCGTTCAAGCCCGGAACTTGTGGTAACAAAGACTGCATACTCTTCTTTCCAATCGATGGGTGTCCACTTGTCCCAAACAAAATATGCTGCCAGATCTGTACTACAAGCCTGAACAATCCCCGACGAATAAGCAGTAACAACCCTAACAATGGGTTAGATGGAAACGATTTTGAACTGATGAACGTCAACTGCATCTGATCCGGTTCATTCGCGGTCTCGTTTTTGCGCACAATCTTTCCGATAATCTTCTGAGAAACAGAGTAGCTGCCGTAAATTTGGTTTTATTTATTCGTGCGAATGCAGAAATTGTTTCGTGTTTAAGTATTAAAGCTGTTATATTGGTTCCTCCTATTCTTCAGCGGGACAATTGTAGAGAGCGATTTGGGTCACCAGACGCGTTGAGAATTATTCCCTAAGTAAAGAACCACATTGGTTAAAACAAAAGGATTGGAGAAAACGCGTTAGAAAGTCAAGGAAATTCTGCAGACAAACCTCTTTGATTGAGTTCGACACGAATAAGAGCCCGACCCCCTACAAATTCGATTTCTCGTGCACGTGGATTTGTGTAATAGTTCACCTTCTCATTAGTTAATATTAAATATACTGTATATCATTACATCATTTGACGTCACAGTGCTATCAATGTTAGAAGTTAAACCAACAAAGTAAGTGATACAATGTGATATTTTCTATTCACTAGCCCAATGCCCTCTGAGATATGAACTTGAAGCGATGAGTTCAAATATTCCAGTGATTTTTATTGGTAACCTCTGCAACTACCATATTTTTATCAGCATGACATTTTTTTAACTAATCCTCTTTTCTTCTGCCTGCTATCAGTAATCTCGAACAAACTACAAGTCTTTTTTATTATTGTAAATCTCAAAATGGCACATAATAGTTTTATGCATTATAATTAAAACAAAAATTTCTTTCATTCGAGACGTCATCTTTGATGGCGTTTGACCTATCGCTTTTAATGCCTCGTTCGATTTGCCGTCGGGATATGTACCTCTTATGGTTGTCCGTTAACGACTTCCTTCAACCTGTCATTGTAAGTGTTTATTCAATTCTTCAATTGCTTTTCCGTCGATTGAACATTGTTTTACCAACTTGCTTTTGTTTTTCTCGTGATGAACCACTACGTTGTTGCAGTATTTGACTTGACGCTCTACAGATGCCTTTATTTCAGATTGACCGCCTATCGTGCCGACTGGATCGTCTTACTCGAGTTTCTCGTTCGGCTTGGCTGACTTCGTATCCAGTTCCTTTGCAATCGTTCGTTCAGATTTCGTTGCGGCTTTTCCTGACTTCATTTATGGAAAGCTCTTCTTTCATAATCCCTTGAGCTGACGAACAAGCCGACATAAAAATTTGAAAAGCCACGGAGAAAGACCGTTGGGAAACATGGATATTCAAGAGAAAGCCCAAGAACCGAAATTAATCCTCGCCGTGGGGTAGCTTATCGTCTGACTTTTGAAGCTTGTCAGAATATGAGCTTGTCGTAGTTCCCGACCCATGGTTTGAAGAACTTCTTGAATTTTGCCTTGAGGCATGAGCGAATGATTTCTTACTTGCAAGCTGTGGTGATGATGATGATGATGGAGTGCGTGATAATTTTGCCGAACTCGAAGCAAGTGACCCTGTTGATGTTGATGGTCGTGTTCATTGTGATTGTGTGTTGTGTAATATGTATTGTGTGTAATATTTGTATTTGACTTCAGGACTTGTGTAGTATTTATGTAATTTCTATCCTCCCTCCTCTCAACTTCAAGTGTTTCCCTTTCAACAATTTCACGTGCTGTTTTACTCTCTTTTCAAAGTTCTTTTCATCTTTCCCTCACGGTACTTGTTCGCTATCGGTCTCTCACCAATATTTAGCCTTAGATGGAGTTTGTCACCAATTGGAGCCAAACGCCCAACCGTGTGACAAATCTACGCGTATGGTCTGTTTGCGTGTCAGACACAAGTTGAGGAAGGATGTAAGAAAAAAAGAGGCATTGAAGTAAACCAAAAAAAAAAAAAACAGTATGAGAAAAGACGTAATGACAATGATCAAAAAGCGTAGATTCAAAATATTATTTTCATAACGAACCTGCACTTGATGCTCTTCGGGTTATAAATCTTTTGAAGCATCTTCGACACTCGACTACTCATCTCCCACTTTCTGGAATAAATTCAGACCAGCAGAAGCAGTCACTGTACTCATCTCGTCTGAGACTTGTCGGAAAGCCCAGCCGAAGTAAGGACGATGAATTCTCGACGTCGCCACTCCAAAGATTCGTTGACGGTGCATTCTCGATAGTCTAGAGACTACTGAGACTGGTGGGTGATGAATGTAAAGTCGGATAGAGTGTTGTGTTGTAATTTAATTATAGAATATCGAACTTGATGGCAGCAGGGTGCTTGTATTCTTGGGCTGAGTGGGGAGATCAGAAAACTAGCATTGATCTTTGGTTCAGTTGCGCTAATGTTGGGATTGCCATAGGCCTTATCAAAAAAAAAGAAAGATTCCGTGAGTCATTCGGATGGGGTAACACACTATCTTACAACAGAATACATGACTCTCCAACTAATTGCCATTTGTTAACTAGTATTATTTCCTGCTTTAATAACGCCATTTACTTGGTTGTCGGCTTGTCAAAGACATTAGGCCATTAAAGTGGTGGCTTTATAGTTGCTATGTTATAGAACGAAACAAGATTGATGTGATGTTAGAATCTGCAATCTTATCTTAAGATCCGCGGCCCTATATTGAAACCTCTGCTCCATCATATCACCGCCTACCATCGCCCACCACCTATCGACCAGTTCTATTCATTTCTTTCTTTCGTTCACCCTCTATATGCCTATAAAATATACTATCTATAAAGTAAATGTCGTAATCGGGGAGGGTGTCATTATTATTTGTGTACGTACCGGCGTATTGACATGCCTTGAAATGGTCTATTCGTAAGCCAGAGAATGCAATTTTTTAGTGTGCGATTCTCTCAGAACCAAATACGGCACGAACGCCGACAACTAAAAGGGTGCCAATGCACCCTTTCAAAGAAGTAGGTAATAGTCAAACTAAGCACAGCCTTTCAATGCATAAAAATACGATCAACAATCATGTGATATTTATGCTTACTATATAATTTGAACACCGTTGCTACTTTTAGGATGTGGGTATGTTTATTATATTTGACACGTGTTTACATGGTTATGTTAACAGTAAAATTGACCATACTGATTCTTTAATGCCTCTGAATTACAGTGTCAACTAGAAAGACAATTTAAACAAATCGCTACTCGTTGTCATAACCTCGTAAATCGCTTACTGTTTTGTCAAAATTGTTATGACTACATTTACACACATACACAATCAAGTATTTACATAGATTAAACACTCTCGGTTCAAAAGAACCAATTTGTTTTCATTCTCCTGGAGAAAAGACGTCTTCATATTGCAATTGATTTAATTCAGGTCAATTTTCATAAAGATGGCAAATTGCGCATCTGCAAATCCTAGCTCTGCTGCTGATTCATACAACTCCATTGCCGTCTGTTCATCTCTCTCCATTCCGATTCCATTTTCGTAGCATTGACCAAGATCGTATTGTGCTTCTGCGTGTCCTCGGAGTGCCGCCATGTGATATAACTCGAGGGCTGTTTGCATGTCTTGTTCTACTTCAATCCCGTTACGATAGCATATAGCGAGAATATATAGAGCCCCCACAATCCCACTTCTAGCGGCTGCATGATACAATTTTACAGCCAGTCGCGTGTCTCGGCTTACGCCAATGCCTTCACTGTAACATAATCCAAGAGAAAATACTGCAGGAGCATATCCTTGTTTTGCGGCTTTTCTAATTAGCTTGGTTGCCTTTCGCTCGTTTTTGCGAGGGGTGCCGACTAAATAACCCATACCAACATGATGTTGTGCTTGCGCAAGCCCTTGTCGAGCAGCCGCTCGCAATTGTTGCGCTGCTTTCCGTTCGTCTTTTGCTACACCGTCTCCGGACAGATATCGTAAGCCGATCGAATATTGTGCGACTGCACATCCTTGGTCAGCCGCTACGCGATATAACTCAAACGCCTTTTCTTTATCTACTGGAACTCCGATTCCTTTGTCATGACATCTTGCGAGATCCATCTGCGCTTGGATGACGCCCTTGTCAGCTGATATTTGGTATAATTCAACGGCCTTGTCGTAGTCGGCGTCCACGCCGCACCCCCGTTCGTAAAACGTTCCTAGTAGATGACATGTCTCAGCATCATTATTTCGCCCCACCGCGACTTGAAGTAATAAAAACGCTGTCTGTTCGTTTTTTTGAATGCCTTCTCCGTTCGAATAACATAAGGCCAAATTTTGTATCGCGGTCACATGACCTAAGTGGGCGGCCTGCTGATAGAAGCGAACGGCTTCTTTCGCGTCCCTTCTGACGCCATTTCCGGTCTTGTAACAATCTCCTAAGCGACATAGCGCCCCGGCGTCTCCTGGTTCGGCAGCCCTTCGATACATTTCTAATTCGCGCTTTGAGATAACCATTATGAGGATAAATCGTACGGTGAATTGTAGATATGTGTTTATACGTACAGTGTGGGATGTCGCCCCCTCGGGAAACTTGTGTATTTAAGTGTATCTGGATATAAGAAGTACAATATGAAATAGAACATTCAATACAAAACAAATTATTATTATTGATGTTGAAAACTGGAATTGAATGCACCCAGAACGTTCCATAACTCTGCGCCATTTCTATTTCCATTCAATTAAAATATATCACTTTTGGCGAAACAAAGGCAATATAGATTTACTTTACCATTAATAAAGAAAATACATATATTTGAACGTGTTATTTTCGATTCTACCCGATGCCGCACTGGTATCGGCAGCGAGAGAAGGATATTTGTCGAACAATCATGTGAATTTGTATATTCAATTTCCAATCAAAACGCTTAGATTTTATACGCCTTTTTTTAGTTTTGGGGTCCCCAGCGATTGGAGGTAGGCGAAACAAGTGCCATCGTCGTAGCATTGTTTATGCATGCAATCAGTTGAAGAACATATTTTCTCATTTAAATGTGACTCCTGCACTGCCGAGACTCCCAACGAAGACATCTTACTTCATAGGTGACACAGTCTCTCCCAAGAAAGATACTATGTCAAGTAGCGATACATAATTGGTACTTTATTTTATTGTTGATAAAGATAATTACAATAGAAGACTGCGTTATCTTTTCCAAGCAGTACAAAAACAGAAATTTATCTCCGGTTTATCTCCGTGTTAAATTGATATGATCTCATTCTCATAGTAATGCAGAGTAGACGTCAAAGTTTTTCACAATCATTTTCTAACTGGTAAGCCAAATAAAAAGCACTAATCCCAAATACCTTGCTGAGGGGAGTCAGCATTTTTGATAATTCGCTATCACTTTCGGCTGTAATCATTAATTGGTCGTGCAGTTTTTTAATATTGAAGTGTTTATAACTGTCAGTTTTCACTCGCGTGTTAAGTATGACGGCTGAACACGTGTATTTGATTGGTTCATCCTTGTTAGTGCAAAAATAGGCAAGTACCCTGTATTCTCGTCATGGCGTCAACCACAAGTATTATCGTTATATACAGTGCCGTCTCAAAAGTCACCGACCACAATTAGTAAAACATATGAAAAATCTATCTTTTCAAAATTCAGTATTGGCGTTATTTACAACAAAAATTTTTATATCGTTGTGAAGCTAATTGACTATAGTTTTCGAACAAAGTACTCATAAATTTGAACACGTTGTAATGGAGTTGTTATCCGCCAAAGTAACGAGATATATGATTTACATGTGTGTAACATATATCTTGTCACTTTTGGCGGATAACAGCTCCATGACAACAACTTGTTCAAATTTATGAGTATTTAGTTCGAAAACTACAGTCAATTAGCTTCACAACGATATAAAAATTTTTGTTGTTTACTTAGTAAATAACGCCAATACTGAATTTCGAAAAGATAGATTTTTCATATGTTTTACTAATTGATCGACAGGGTGGGTCGGCACTGTACAATCGGCTGAGAAATGTGCTTATTATTATACTATATATCCACACTATCAATAAATTATCATCATCATATCGTGGGTTTAGATATGACAATTATTTAAATGTCCCTACTGGCTTTCTCTCCATATTATTATGCGGTAATGCTTTTAGCGGCAAGTTGCACATACCTAGAGCCACATCTGCAACGTAATCCACGCTGTGCTGACATTTTTGTTCACTGAATATGAAGACGATATAATGCCTGCAAAGAAATGTGCAAACGTGCTGTTTGTGTCCAATCC